TGGGTACCTAGACTGCGCAATTCGGCATGTACTTCCGAAGATGCCGCTGGAACTAAGGTTCTGTACTCTTGAGAAACTTCCTAGCATTGCTAGGCTTCAATTCAAAATTGAAGACATACTGAAACATTCCCCTTTGACATGTAAATTACAGGAGACAACTTCCAGTAGACCTGGCTGAAGGAAATCTCAAAGCTCTAAGCCTGCAAGCCTTGGGTCAGGTACTGTCTTCTCAACTCTGCAAGTTGGATTATCTAATTTTCATAACTTCTCAAATGGTGGCATAATTTAAATCAACAGTTCATTTGATTTGATGATTTTTTCCCCTAAGAGAACACAGAAGATATTATGCTTGCATGTAACTCATAGAAAGAGAAGGGTGATAATTTTGAACAATATATATTACCTATTACTGCTGAAGCAACACAGGTAGGTTTCAATTTTGAACAGCACAATTTTGTACTACTTGTGTCGCAATTTTGCTTTGAAAAGCATAAGAAACCTACTATCAGCATTCTTTCAACACTTTGTCATATCTGTTACATTAGTCCTATTACCTGTGCTTTTGCTAGCCACTACATTTGATATTAGATATTTCACTTTTGTTCTGAACATTGGTATTCTTCTTCTTGTAGGGGGTTGACATGCAGCTTGGTTTGGCTATTGATAGTCCAAAGGCTACTTTAGCAGTAAAACGGCGCTTGGCCTGTGAGATGGTCAAATATTGGCAACAAGTTCAAGAGAGCATTCCAGAGCTTCCTATCTCTGATGGATGGGGGAAAAAGCACCGGCTATTTGTAAAGTGGAAATATGTTGAAGCAAAGGTGTATAATCTATGCTACTACTATCATTCTTTTTAAGCTGCAAATTCTTGTCTAAATCAAACAGGCTAAATTTTCTTCAGATGATACATTTCTCTAATGTGTAATCTTTGAAGCATTTCTACTGTATGAAATCTATTATTTTATATGTTTATCTCAGGCTGCAGCATACTATTTCCACGGTTTGATTCTTGACGAGGGAAATACCGAGAAATCCCATGGAATGGCAGTAGCTGCACTCCAAGCTTCAGAGGAATTTCTGAAAGAAAGCAAAAGGGTTTCGGAAGCCTTCCATGCAACTCCTCCAACATCAAGGCAAAATTTCCCCTCATACTTAACTATTCACCACATATTATTGGTGCTTAATAATCTGCTTGAGGAACATCTGTTGCTGTGAGTTGTAACAATAGTGAGGGAGACTGAATTCCATACCTGTAACTTTGCAGGAGTCCCAATCCATTCGGAACAGAAAAATATCTGTTTGACAAGATCCCAAGAGATGCTTCCAGCAAGGTCCGAATCAACCAGGACCTGTATACTCAAGAAAAGTAAGAACCTTCAGAAAAAAAGTGCTCACAACAAACATACTGGAATCGTGAACCTCATGAACTGATGTGTAAGTATTTTGGGGAAACTTGCAGGGTCATTGGAGCTCCACCCCCGTTACCAGATTTTGCATTGGCGCTAACACCTGAAGACTATGATCTTCCTCCACTAGATCCACTTTGGAACAAAGAAGACACAGGCCATTAAGTGTATATGCGGCAGAATTGTTGCTTCTGGCAAAAAAAATTGGCTCTGGATAGAAAGGAAGGACCAAGATCTGCCATGTCAAAGTTGAACATGGTAATGAATGAAGTATACAAAATATTTTCAAACAAAATTACATGTCAACAAAATTAAGCAAGGACTGAAGATAATCTGAAGAGCTTTGTACAGCCGATTCTTCTTCTGACAAGGGAAATGCCATGTCAAAGGGTTCATTCATCATTGTCGATCCTGATTCCTGATGCTTGCATTTTGTCAACAACGGGTTTTCAGCATTCCATATGGAACTGGAACCAGCCTCTGATCGAAAGTGGCAGCCTTCAATTTTTTTAGTCATAAAACATTTACATAGGCACCTTAAAACATACCCTGGAACAATCAGTTTCAGCGGAGCAGTTTATATCAGGTGAATAGGATATTCAAATAATCAGTGGATCAGTGTGGCCAAAAAGTTATCCCTTCCAACCATTCAATGCATGCATATAGAGTCAGAAAATTTTAGTTCTGAATTTCGAATGCAAAAACAGAAAAGCCCTCCATATGATCTCTCTTGATCAACTACGAGAGGTGATTCACAGCTAGATAGTACGACCCAACTAACACAAACGATGCAATTCCACTACGGGCCATTCGTAGGCCAATGCCACGGAACAAGACATGCCTATCAGCTGGGGATATTCCTGTCTTCCTCTCTATCCACGTTCCTGGTGCTTTCCACTTAAGAAACTTCCTCTCCATTGCGATATACTGCCAAAAAGAAAGAACAGAAACAAGGTGTATCACATATAGCAACAAAAAAAAGGAATTTTAAGTTTGAAGGCAAAAAATATATATATCGCAAGCAAAAGGAGGATAAACTAGTTAAAGTACAGACAGGCCAAACCTTAGGCACCACAGTACATTCTGAACGACTTTTGGCAGTATCAAATGTATGTGAAGCAGCAGCCGCTACCGCCCCTGCGAAGCCTGCAGCAACACTAGAGGCAAAAGGGGGTACAGGGCCTGCTTCTTCTAGATTCCTGAAAAATGGCAAAAGATTAGGTTAAACTAAAATGTTACTTCATAATGTCACCACACTGTCCCTATCATTATTTCAAATCAAATTCGCTTGCATCATTCCATACCTAGGTTCAGGGCTCATATTTACTGCCTTCCAGGTGAGCAACGCTGTGTGTAGGAATTGCCAAGTAGAAAAGAACATACCACCAAATACACAGTCTCGAGCTATCCCTGATCTGAGCCCTCTCCAAAGAGCACCCCATCCTTCAAGCAATATCACTCTAGAAGGTAGGTGCACATCAGACGGTAATGGGGGTTTCCCAGAGCCAGTAAGCATCCATGGGTGCTGTTTCAGAGCACCCAACATGTCAGGATGCTTGGGAGAAAGATCAGATAAAAGGCTCACTGTGTTGTTCCACACCCTTAGATCGGGAACATAACCAGGCAACAGTTTGGAAAGCAGTGGAAATGATTCTTGAGCAACATTTGCAGGGCCCATAGCTTTTGAAGGAATCACAGAACTAACTTGGTTTCGAAGTTTGAAAAGTTCAAATGGTGTGCAGAAAACAGCCTCTACAGCACCAGCAGCTATGCCAGCCAACATAGCCTCAGAATAATAGACATAGTTGTCATCCCTTCCATCTTCCAAGACACATACAAGAGTCAAGACAGCGGTCATTTGCCATACATTTCACCATGAGTTACACGGAGGAAAATTAAATTGGTTAACTGTCGCCAATAATACTAGAAATTGTATTCCATCCAAGAACAAACTTATGTTACCATAGGCAGATCAAATAATCAGAAGGTAAATTGAACTATCAGGAAACAAATGCCATTCAAAATGAACTGCTTTTTGTAGTAATGAAGCAAAATAAAAGACAACGTTTGCTTTCTATAAAGGCAGGGTTTTCCTCCGTAAAAAAAAAAAAAAGACATCGTGACACAAATTCAGAGATAAGAATTAGACATGCAATGCAAATACTGATAACAAAGTGGCATAGGGCAAGTAGTCCTAAACAATGTAATTGTGGGAAAACATGTCTTTACCTTTATAGAAGGCTGTTAAAAGTTCATAGGTCCCAAAACGTGCTCCCAACCCAGGAAGTTTACCCATTATGGACCATCCGATGCCACTGTAAAAACCTAGAAGACATACAATGATTTAGAATATGGTAATTTCATATGTGAAGTAACACATAACTAGATCCAAAGCCACTAAACATGAACTAGAAAATGTTATACAAAAATCAGGATTCATATGGCTTTCCTAATACTGCATCTTTCCCTCAAGAAAGTTTTTAATGGAACAGGCACCTAAAGAAACATGGAGAATTGTACATCTGTAGACTGTAAACTTAAGGACAACTACACCGCTGACCTAATAAACATCAGGATTCCAGAAGTATTAACAATTGCGGATTTGTAATTTCAAAACACACACACACAGCATAACTAAGTTTGCAAATTCTTTATTTAGAATTGGTAGGTTTCTCAGGTAGGCTCAACAGTCAACAATCAACAATTAAATCATCAGACAATTCTGGCCTAGCACAGCATGGCAACTAAATACCGTCAGCTCTGCCAACTCCAACAGTTCACACATCTCAGTAGCAATGCAAATCAGGGTGAATCACAAATACTCCAACCGCAATACTCAGTCCCAACTCCCAATATCAAAGATATCTATCAACTGAGCAACCAACCAAACCTGCTGGGCCGGAAGCGGCCATGAGCCGGTCCACCACCTGCCGGAGCCCCATCTTCTGCTTCTGCCCCGCCGCTCCCAGCTGCAGAGGCAAGAAAACACCGCGCAGATCCCAAAATCAGACCTTGAGAAAGCAACAGTACAGCAACACAAGGGAGGAGAGGTGTGTGAGTGCGCTCGCCTGGAGGAGTGTCTTGACCGTGTCGAGGGGGTGCACGGCGACGGCGGAGGCGCTGATCGCCGCCGCACCGGCGGCCGCGTGGCCCGCGAACACGCTGTCCCCCAGCGGCTTGCCGCCTCCCACCATCTCGGCGGCCTGCAAGGCTGGAACACACCCTCTCCCCCAAAAATGGCGAAAAGCGGCGAGCGAGGAATTTGGGGGAAGACAGGAAGAGAGAAGCCGCGGGGGAATCTGGGGGCCCATTAACAGAAACCTGCCCACCTCGGGCATTGGCGTCCGGCCCACAGAGTTCCGTGGCCCAGTGAAGATCCTGGCCTTCCCGCGATCGGATGGCTGGGACGCGCCGGCACTAGTCGAACTCGGGTCGAAGTTTCCTTCCGCCGATGGTCGCTGCCTCGACTAGACCAGCGCTGCAATTCCAGGTTCCAGCCAACTCCGCCGCCCTGTCGTTCTCGCCTCTCCCTACCATTACCGGAAGAGACGAGGGTGGCCGCCGCCTTCTCCCGCTCCCGCTCTGCCTCTCTCCATGGGCCAGGTCGAGAGCCAGGCCACTCCTCCGGCGGAGGACCCTTCTCCACCCGCCGTGGAGCCGTCGCCGCCGTCTCCTGCCCCGCCTCCATCCTCCCTTGAGGCGCTTGCTGCAGGTATGTGTACATGTGAAGCCCCGAAGTGTGGTGTGCTCCACTTTACTCCGAACTAGTTGAGCTGCAGTTGCGCTGGGTCTTCCCGTTGCTTGGCATTGGTTGAAGGGTGAACCTCTTGAGCTGGCTATATTCGGATTTGAAGATTTTGTTTGTAGCTAGTAACCATAAATAAGATTCAGATGCGAAAGTAGGCCGATGAGATCGCTCATCTGACATTGATGGCGCAGAACTTGTACTGACCTCGATATCTTAGGCTCTTACCGATACGGTAGTCTGTTGCTGAAATTGCGATAGTATTTACTGTTAATTTCGTCTCAGTGATGTTCTATGTTAAATAAGCAGGGGCATGGTCCGTACTTATGGAGAGAAAGCGAACCTTAGGTTAGTCTGGTAGTAGATCAATGTCTGTCCAGAATGACTAGCATGACCAATCGAGTGCATGTGTCTTTAAAAAGCTACTGCTTATACTTTGCCCATCACCATTCACCAAGGCTCAAGAGGTTTGACACACATATGAAGCCAATCGATGCTGCTTTCTAAGTAAACTTAGCAACCGTACCTAACCTAGTTCAGGGGCTAATCTATTGGCTCAAGGGTCCTAGGGTCATAGTTCAGGGGCAAAACAGTAGGTCAGCGCAAAATTTTGCTGCAAACTCAAGTTCTCCATGCAGCTTGTAACATAAGTTTCTTTATTTGGGCGCTTTCTTAGTCGTGTGTTTAGACTGTTCTAATTTTGCATTTTATAAAATGTGCAGAGGCCATGTCGTTTGATGAGGATGACACTGAGGAGGTAAAACCCTTTCCTTTTCTTCTAGATAGATGCTTATACTTCAGTCACCTATTTGCTTCACTACATCTTGGTACTCCAAGTGCCACGGTCAGTCAAATAACATTTTGCTTGTACAGTCAATCGATGTGAAGGTACAGAAAGCTCTGGACTGTCCATGTGTTGCTGATTTGAAAAATGGTCCTTGTGGAGGTCAATTCGTCGATGCATTTTCCTGCTTTCTCAGGAGCACAGAAGAAGAGAAGGTTGCATTTCTTTCTTTTTCTTTTTACTTTTCTGCAAGCAATTAACTTGATTTCAACTTATATGTGCTTAATGCAAGTTATGTTACATGTTTATGCATATTAATAATTGTGGCATGATGTTATTTACCAAACTCAACTCAGGATCGTAGCATGTGTGGCCCCGTTTGGCACGGCTCCAGTTCTGAGAAATTCATATTTGGATGTGGAGCTGTGGCCTGTGGATTACACCTTAGTTGTTTGGTTGAGCTGGTTTCTTTGCATTCTAGGTAAAAAAGAGTCTCGACTTTCTTGATTTTAGTGTAGGAAATCCAGATCCGAGGTGGAGCCTGGAGCTGTTCCAATATGAAATTTGTTGGCCATAAACTGGAAAGGTGTTGCTAGATGACCTAATCGAGCTTAAGAAATTCGAGGTATTGTTAGATGGCCATAAACTGGAAAGGTGTTGCTAGATCACCTGATCGAGCTTAAGAAAATTCTTTGTCCTACGTGGACTTCCTTATGATTCAATAGATATAAAACTAATGGTATCATTGCCAATTTAACTTAGACAAGACAACAATGCTAATGTAAGCCATTGCAAGGTAATTCTATTGGTCAAAAGCACTTGTTGTCTTGTGGATATCTATGTACTTTTACATCAATAAATTTCATGTGTATGTTTGTTCTTCATATCTGGAAAACTTTTAAAATATTGAAGTGCTAACTTGACTGAGCTTAGTTTTTTTTTTCCTTCAAAATTTCTGGCTGTTTGCATGTTGCCACCTTGTCTCACAAAACTTTAGATCCTTCATAAAATTCAGTATCATGCACAACTTATTGTTGGACCATATACCACAATTAACTTTTTGATCCATGTCTTTTTCTTGTATAGATGAATTAACTAGCACCAAATTTTGCTGTCTGTGCCTTTCCAGGGATCAGATTGCGTGAAACCCTTCATCGCATTGCAGGACTGCATCAAAGCAAATCCAGAGGCATTCTCTAAGGAGATTCTAGAGGAAGAGGAGAATGATGAGGAGGCAGAAAAGTCCAACCTGAAAGTCAGAGCTCCATCATGGTCCAGAGAATCCAAGCCTAAGGTTTGAGATTGCTTGGTATTAACTGATACGGAGTGATATTCATCCAGTCTGCAGACGCACCTTATTCAAGTATAAGTTCGCCAGTAGTAGATTGATTCCAGAGAGCAAGGAGGCATCATAAATTGATTGGCCGAAATACCCATATTTTGTGTGGTAGAAATGCCTCACGGTATTCACTTTTTGAGAATGCACACGTCATTTCAAGTATCAATCGAGAACCGATGAACATGTAATTGGATTCCTAGATACAGCCATACAGGGCAAGTTTGATCACCGCTGTATTATTATAATAATATGAAATATACATAGGATTATCATAATCTAGATTATGAATTATAATAATTAGTGTTTGGATTCCTAGATTATTGTGGTGGATTATTCTTGGTTCAAGTGATAAATACACATAATTACCAAAAAGTAGGTTCAAGGGGGATAATAGGATTATTGTTATATAGTGTATTAGTTGTAATATAATCCACCTCATAATCTAGCCTGTTTAGATCATGACTAGTTTATTTTAGCCTATTATTATAATCACAGTGGATCTAAAGGGGTTTGTAGTATCTCTACTATAAGGGAACACTCAAAATAAGGCTCGGTATACCAAAGATTGCGTCCCCCGCTGAGATAGTTTAACCATTGTGCACCAAAGATTTTGTACCCAGAATTTTAACATCATTAAAATCAATGGCTGCTAAAGCTCCCTCAGAGGCTTCAACTCGATCTGATGGCCAACATTATTTGATCATCCAGGCTTCAACGCACAGTCGCACCCCGTGCGCCCTCGGCGGCCAGGGATTGAATCCCACCGTCCCACACGCCCAGCAGTTCTTTTGTTTCCGAAAAAAAATCGAGAGGTCGGGCGTGCTTGCACGCGCTTCCTGCGCCGGCGGCAGCCCCTGCGTGCGCTCGCCCCTAGGCGGAGCGGCAACAGCGTTCGGCGGGGGCTGGGCAAGGCCGGCGCGGCCGTGCCCGTGGCAGCAGCTGCAGTGTCAGGACCCGTGCTCCCGTGGGCGGCGGTGGCGGTAGCACCTGCGGCGCTGCTGGGGCGGCCCAGATCCACTCGCCCGCGAGATGTCGGAGATCCTCACGCCTGACCGCCCACCGCATCTGCGCACCTTCTTCCCCGTGTCCGCTCCCTGCCGCAGTTGCACTCCCGCCTCCCTCCATGGGCACGACGAGGCGGAGCAGGACACAGCGTCCCGGTAACCGGAAATCGCCCCTGGCCATTTTTCCTCTTCTCCTGACTTTTGTTTCTCCCAATCCCAAATTGCCAAACCCTAGCGAACGAGCAGTGACCGACTTAGGCGAGGCGATGGTGTGCCGGGAAGGCGTTGACCGGACTCCGGAGTGCCAAGTGTGCAGGATCTTGGGCTGGGTGGCTACCGGACAACCGTGTGGAGGGAGGGCTGCCGGTGGTTGTGCCTGGCGCCGGCGGCCGAGCGAGGAGCGACGAGCGCAGGCTGCAACGGATCTCCGACCAGGGCTTGACTAGGGCTTGGCGGCAGCGGCGTAGCACGCCTGTGCACCATCTGCCAAGCACGGGCGGCTCGAGGACGACGATCGTGCACAGTGAGTAGACAAGTATCATTTAATATAGTTTCTGATTTTGCTGGAAATAACTGCCATGGCTATGTTTTTCCTTGATAAGAGTAAGTGTTTTTACCTATAGTAATAGAAAATGATATAACCATGAGGTGCCTCATCTCTGGTGAATGTTCGATATTTCTCAATAGGTTGATGAAGTTCAACTGCACATGGTGCTACGAGGACTTTCATAAAATAGGAAAAAGGCAAAGGGGAAAAAGGTTCACAACTATCTCTAATCTGAAGTGTTCTTATATAATATACGTTGCAATTATTTCTCCGTCAGCATTAGTTGAAAACATTAGTTGAAAACAATGAAATTGATGTCGGTACACTGAGAATGGGAGGGGACAACAGCCAATGAAATTGATGTCGGTACACTCAACAAGGAAGTATCTAAACAAATTTGGACAGAGATAATTTGGGCATATTATTGTGAGGAGATCACATTAGTTGAAAACAAAATACTTTTGAAGGCATAAATACTCTATTGTTTGAAAACAGAAAACTTTTGAAGGTATAAATACTGGCTTACTGCTACTTACTGTTTAGTTTGACGTTAGTGTCACTTATGACTGCTTAGATTACAAGTCAATTATGCCTTCTTTTGAGTGTCCACTGCTCTTGTGACAGCTTCTGGATTGCTTCAGATACTGACATGGAACATCAGTGTCGACTATCTATTGCAATTCTGTTTTAGTTTAGAGTGTTCACTTAGATCCTGCTATGACAACTTCTTCCATGTTTTTGGTGTTTGTAGATCCGACAAACACAATTCCTACCTCGTGTAAAATTGTATGACATCATTATTGAGTTGCATAAAGAGGTATGTGACTTTCTCCCTTTTTTTACTTCCTGTAAAGAAGCGCGGTATGTTTTTGTACGGTACTGAATTTGTCATTTGTAGGGCTGGGAAGTTCTTAAACCGGTACAGCGTGTATATTTGATTTTTTTTTTTTACTTTGCCATCTGCTTGGGACTGAAAGGCTATGTTGTTGTTGTTGTTGTTTGCCATCTGCATGCTGAAGTTCATTAGGAATTCTCCGTGAATTTATGAGTCAATGCTAGGCTTTGCTCTGCTCCTACTTTTGCTCACCAACCTGAGGTCTGCCTTGTGTGAGGCTGGAGCCAATTAGCTGCCTCAAATTAACCAATTGCTTCAGCTGATGCAGGCTCAATGTATAAGGTATTACTTTAATTTATAAATGGCATCTTAATTAGTGTGCTGCAATGTGGGCATACCATTCATCTATATGCCAAATGCATAGGGGAACTGAACCTATTGGTGGAAAGGAAATATCTATCATTGATCTTGTTATTAAGGTAATTGCCAAGTCAAACCTTCTCAGTTCAGTGTAATAACAGTAGCTTCCGAGATCTGATGATCACATTTGTACTAGGAAAATATTTTGATAGCTACAAAACCAAAATATGAGACTTATTTCGCTATAGATTCCACAATGTCATTTGCTTGTGAGTTTTGTGTTTCTTTCAATAATTGATTTATTTTTTCTAGACACCACCGTAGTGTTAGCATGGGCAATATACTATATTAATAATACTTATGTCCTTTTGTTTAAATTGCTGAAGCAATCCAGTGCAAGAGCATTGAGATTTCCATCTTAACAAAAGAGGCATGTTTACTTAATATTAATTAAGCAATAATGGGATGAGAAAATACTTCAAACTGTGGAGGTCCCTTATTTTCCAGGTTTTTAAGTATGTCGCATCACTCCTTGAACTGGTAGAGTCAGAATTGACGAGCTGAGTTATATGAATGCTACCAAGCTGTTTTCTTATCCTGCCTCCAAAGTTGAAGCTGAAGCCATCTAAATGGGGTTCAACACTACCTTACTCACTTGTCAGCAAATCTGAAACCTGTTCTTTCAGTTTTTAACTCCTGTTTTTTCTCCCCTTTTGAATGCTCTTTGTGTACCAGATTGTAGGGACTCTCCGAAACAATGCTTGAAAACTGAGATGGTTTTACATCACTCAATATTGGTGTAATAGTTGGCAGGAGCATTTCTATCAAAACAAAGCTTCGGACTGTGCTGGCAGTGACGAGAAGCAGGATGCAGCAGCATGCGGCGGATACGAAGAGGGAGACGAGGAGGAGGCGTGGCCGGCAGCATGCTTCGGCCAGTACAGGACGCAGGTGGAGCTGCCCGAGAACGTGGACATGGATAAGATCGGCGCGGAGGTGAGGGACGGCGTGCTCTACCTCACCATACCCAAGCTGACAGCAGGGGGCAAGGTCGTCAACATCCAGGTGCAGTGAAGTGAAGTAACGAGCTCTGCCTCTAAATTCTGAAATGGGACGGATCAGAGTTCAGGACGGACGATGAGCACCAGCTGCGTGCTTCTCAGCTTCTGAATGGGCTGGATGGGACGAGAGCGACAACGATCTACTACTCCTACAATCCTACTCTTGCTCTTCTTTCTTTTTTGTTTTTGCCACATGCGCACAGCGAAACACGGGGCCTCTGACCTCCTTTCACTAATAAAAAGAACCTGCTTAATAGATGGGCTGAATGTTAGTGGGTTAAAAAATAATAATGTTGAGTCTTTTTCCCAATAACTCGATATTTCAATACCGATCCTATGTATTTTTCTGTTGTTTGATATTTGCACTTTGGTGCGCAGGTAACAGCATGTGGCTTTAGACTATGTGCAATGTTATCTGAAATACTTAAGGTTTGGTGAATGGAAGTTTGGTCATTTAAGTTAGCGGCGATTCAACAGTTTGCCTGTCTCATTTCGTAAAATAAACTATTCACCACCTTTTCTTAAAGTGTGTTGTGGCTAAACATATGAGGCAGCTCTGAGGACGGACGGCTTCTGAATGTAGGGGAGTCTGAAGACATGCTTGGTTATAGATGTGACCACTAATGTTGAAAAATGTTATTATTCATATTTTGATAGGGTAAGATGGACTTCCTTTTTAATATTTCTTTTTTGCATGAATCATAAATATAACTCATGAATCATAAATATATCTTAGTGATGCTTAATGACTTCACATATATGCCTTTTGGTTATTTAATTTGCATGGTTATATACTGTTGTTGCGTTAGCACGGGCATTATACTAGTATGCAATAGTAGATTTCTGAACGAAACAATTTTCGTGATGGTAGGTCATGTGTTAAGCTTGTATTAGGGGGTGTTTAGATTCTAACTGGATTATAGTAATAATCAGATAAAGTAACTCAAATTACGGATTGGATTATAATATTCAAACCATCAAATTATTGCAATATATCCTATAATCTATCTCAAACTTGGTTTTTGGAGATTATGCATTTGTGCTCCAACGTAGGGCTTCGGCTCCTCGTAAGGAGCCCTGTCAAATGTTCTAAAAACAGGAGCCTTGCCAAATGGGCATTAAAAAACAGTTCCTTGCAAGGAGCCTAGAGGAGACGGAGCAGTTTTTTTTATAGAGGAGCTAGAGAGAGAAAAACAGTAGCTTCTTCTGGCTCCTCGTAAACATAATACAAATTGTTATAGCACTGCCATTGGAACCATTTTTTGCCAAATATTTTTCAATACGGCTCTAACCTCACCAGGAAAGCTTCTCCACCAGAGCTGGATCCCTTTTAGAAGGAGCCAGAGACCTAAAAAGGTCATAATAGTAATCCACCTCTATAATCCAGGTATCTAATGGTCTAGATTCTTATATTCCATACTCCAAATCATACAATCATATCCATAATTCAGATTACGATAATCCAATTGGGAATCAAACAAAGCCCTAATGCAGTTGTGAACATTGTGTTTCTAGTTGCTGGCTGTTGCTGTATTTATGTGCTTTACCGCAGTATCAATGGTTTCTTCGTTAAGGAGTCGATATGCAGATTTATAGGGCCTGATTGGAGTGATTGATTTGTTGCATTAGCATGTATTCAGACTTGTACAACACAGTTTTATTTGTGTTTGGTTGCCCCCAGAGGCATGTAGGTTTGTATTGTACTCAAAGCAATATAACATTAGCCAGTGCACTAGATTTGGTCATATTAGATAATGTAGATGCATACTCCTCACCTTCCCACTTCATCTATGCTAGCGTATGGCGGTGATTACATTCAACATAATACAAGCAACTAAACAAAATCGTACAAAAGGATAAATTTTGGGTGTAAACCCCTAATTCGGTGCAATCATGAAAATCTCATTAAACCACATACTTATAAGCTTTTTATTTTTTTAAATGAGGCACATCTATAGATGTGCATTATATCAAAAGTTGAGATACAAAATTATTTTCTAAAAATTCATATGAAAATAACACATTTCATGTGTATATATACTAGAAGACAAAATCATAGAAATTTTGTCCTCTAATGCATATGCACATGAATTTTATTTTTTTCATATGAACTTTTCTAGCTAGGCAGGACAATGAGACATTTTATTTGTGTAGAACAATTAAACATCAAGACATTACATATGTTTATGCTAATTTAGATTGCACTATATAAAGTCTAATGCAAACAACCAATCACATATGTAGACATTTTTAAAAGACTCTTTATATATTTTCTAATTTACAGGAATAGAGAATTCATGAAAAAAATATCCTTTCACAGCCTCTTTAATTGAAACTTCAAATATATGCATCCTCTATTTTGTATTTCTCGCTAGCCAAAGACGAAGAGCGATGATAGCTCTCTAGAGCACACAAAGTAAAGAAAAGTTGTTGGAGGATATAAAGATAAATTATTTAAATAATAATTTAAATAATATTTTAGGAGTATAAATTTAAAAAACTCTTTGATATGTTTTTATGTCTTTCTTTTTTTCCTTTCAAATGGAAAGGGTATAGCGGCATAGCACAGCGGAAAAAGTCTACATAACCTCCAACTATTCAGGGTGGACTACTTCACCCCCCAAACTATAAAACCAGATTTTCTACCACTTGAACTTTTCAAAACCGATCAAATAACCCCCAAGCAGTTTTGGACGGTGATTTTGCTACAGTGACGGTGGTTTTGTCCTTTTCTTTTTATTTATTTTCGCTGAATATTTGAAAAAAATATAGTAAATCATAAAAAAAATCATAAAATAGAAAATCCAATTTTGCTGGACTCTACATGAGTAAATCTACACAGTGAACATATAATATGATATGTTTTAGTACAAAGTTTTTGTTGTATCTTTAGATCTATGTTTTTTATAATTAATTGGAATAATTCATAGCTGCAGCTTCTATAGTTCAATTGTGATGTAATTTTTATGGTGGACTAATTATTGTATGCTTGAATTATAGTAAAAATTTCATACTCATTGGATCATGTATAACTTAGTTATAGATTTATTTAGGTTTATGTTCGTTAAATCTATACTTTATCTATAGTTAAGTTATACATGATCCAATAAGTATGAAACTTTTACTATAATTCAAGCATACAATAATTAGTCCACCATAAAATTTCACAACAATTGGACCATAGAAGCTGCAGCTATGAATTATTCAATTTAATTACAGAAAAGCATAAATCTAAAGCTATAGCAAAAACTTTGTACTAGAGAATATCATATTATATATTTACTATGTAGATCTACTCATGTGGAGTCTAACAAAATTGAATTTTCTATTTTATGATTTTCTGTGATTTACTATGATTTTTCAAAGATTCAGTGAAAATAATAAAAAAGAAAAAGATAAAATCACCGTCAATATAGCAAAATCGCTCGGGGTTATTTGACTGTTTTTGGAAAGCTTAGATAGAAAATCCGGTTTTTACGTAGATTTTTTCCTAGCATGGCAGACTGTTAAAAAGAAAAACAGCTGTTCCTTACTGGGCCGCTTGGCCCATATTCCCTGCTCGTTCAGTCGTCCTCTTCCTCTGAACCTTTCCGGTTCCGGTGAACTTCTTCCACCTGAACCGCGTACCACGATAAGCCCTAATCCCAGCGCCACCTCCATGGCGACCACCTCTTTCTTCCATCCGCTCGCCGACCCGATGGCCAGCGGCGGCGTTCGCCTCCGTCGCTGCCCGTTCAGCCTAACCACCCCCTCCCGTACAGCGCCCCGACGACCGGCGTCGCTTCTCGTCGTCCGCGCCAAGCGCTCCGGCAGCCGGGCCCCTGCTGCCGCTGCCTCGCATCAGCCCGCGAATCCCAGCGCGGTCCCGAAGCGGGACGTGGAGGAAGAGGTGGAGGAGGTCGAGGAGGAGATGCCGTGGATCCAGGACAAGGCGCTGGACCTCGTGGAGTTCACCGGCACCGTCACACAGGCCATCCCGGGGCCCCGCGTCGGCTCTAGCCCTGTTCCGTGGCTTCTCGCGGTTCCGCTCGCCTACGTCGGGGTCTCCTTTGTGCTCGCGGTCGTCCGCACCGTGCGCAGGTTCACCTCCCCGCGCACTAAGAAGAAGCGAAGGGTAAATGTTGGCATCATGAAAAATTTGCTGTGGTTCCATGAGCGGAATCTCATCGCGTATTCGCGTTCTGCGGTATTTGAATACATTGTAGTTTTCCGTCGTAACTGTATTAGCCCTGCGAATTACTAGATATATTTTGGAACATCCGTTTGCAGGGTCTAACTCCACTGGATTTGCTGTTTAGAGGGGTTTGCTTTGTCAGGGCGATGGGAAATGATAAATGATAAATTACACCCCTTCCTTCAGTAGCTAATTTGTGTTTGCAAATTTATCTATCTGTGTATACTGCATTACTGTATAGCATCTTGGAATCATGCTAAATAAACCATTTTACAGCCTTTCTTAAATTAAACTAAAATAGCCTGCAATTTCAGTTTTACAACATTTTATAAATTTGCTCCTCTATAGATCATCAACTAGATACCTTTTTAAACATGTAGAGGTGCTAAAGCAAATTTGAGCTTGGTTTTTTTGTTGATTGCAAGCCTGATGTTTTTCAAAAATGGATTGCAAGCTTGATGTTATCCTAAGTTTGCCAAAAAAATTTAACTTTGCATGCCATTTTTTTCGCAAACGGATTGCAATCTAGAACTATTTGGTGCCTAGGTTTTGTTGTAATAATAAAGAAGTCTTCCTCTGCAGGTGGGTAAGAATATATTCTTGTTGAAGTCACTAGATGATCTGTTTCAGAAGGGCAGGGAGGCAATAGATTATCCTGCTCTTCAGGACCTAATGCAAAAGGTGTGTTGCCTATTCATCCATTGATTTTATTTTTTGATTTTTTGATTCGAGAAACTGATTTAGGGAAATGATATTGAACTAATGGCAGGTTGGATATGCTTGCTTATTTACTCTAGTGTTGGTTCTGCTCAAATCAAAATTTTACTAGCTATCAGTAGAGTTAGCGAGTTGATGATATTGTAAAGTGGTGCCGAAACCTATTAAAAATCGTGCTGCATAGGCCAGAACAATAATGTTCCTTGCAAACTGGTGTTTCATTACACTGAAATGTCTTGCTACTGGAAATTCTTTCCATTGCAAATAACAGATTCATAAATACTTTGTGTGTTCAGACAGGATTTGATATGGATGATGTAGTAAGGAAGTACATCCGTTACACATTGAATGAAAAACAGTTCAATCCTGATGTTGTCGTGGATCTCATACATCTTAGGAAGGCATCAATGCTGGAAGATGCGGAAGTTGCTGAAATTTTAAATGAGATTTCAAGACGAATTGTCCGGGAAAAAGGTATAACTAGTGCTGCTTATTCAAATACTAGAGTGAGCATAAGATATTTCCAGAATCTCAGGCTCTGGCTGCTTACTTTTGCAAATCAACTATTTATGCTACTTGTATCAAAGTCAAGCCTTTGAATAAATAATTTCAAGTTCTACTATTCCCTTTGTTCAAAGTCTGTCCAGATAGATAGAAGGAAAAGTCAGATGAAAGGCATGGAGTGTAAACCACGTACTACCGAGGGCAGAAAGTGAAATGTTATTTTTCTTGCTCCCCTTCAGCTGAAGTTTGTGGGCCTTCTTGTGGAACCTTCTCTGTGAAACTTTGTAACGCCAACCATTTTTCATCTTCCATTCCATTTAATCAACAAATTTTTAGATTGGACCCTCATTTTGTTGTTAGAATATGTGCATAGCTGTTCTCCATATTATTATCAACTAACATTCTTCGTTATGCATTGATGGAAAATTGATAACATTTGTCATTATCGGATGCAATGTTCTGATTTCAAGTCCTGCAAAGCGTATCCAAAGAATCAATAGAAAGTGCATGGTTGTTGGGGGTGACCATAAGACACCTCTGATACATGTTATTTCTATACAAATTTGTAATTATTTCCTATCCTCTGCCAACCGGTCCCCTTCAAACCCACTCTCTGTTATGGGATGTACCATACAGTAATTGTGATGTGAGACAAGTGGTGGCCTCTAAATTGTAGTTTTATTTCTTTCCTATTATTTTGAATTTACTGTGGATTTGTAATCTCGCACTTACTTCAGATACATTTGTATTTAAAATATTGCAGGGCCAGTAGTTATGAACCTATCTGGTTTTACAGAACAAGGTTTTAAGCGGAAGCTTGCTGTACAAGCACTGTTTGGAAAAATCCTATACTTATCAGAAGTAAGCTGTTTATCCTCCATTTTATTACTGATTTTGTGATTACAGATCTGTTGACCTTAAGCCCAGATCTTGATCCTGTACTTTTAAATGAACTGCTTGGACTGTAACCAAAAACAGAAAAGGTTTGATGGTTCACTTCTGTGGAAGTCATTAATGAGTGCTTGGTTTGATGAACCATCTTATTCTGATTGGGTTAGGTCGTCTTATTCTATGGTTTGTTACTGATTAGCCTGGATAAAAGTTACCATGATGAATCAGATCTTAACGGAAATTGTTTGTGAATCTCTATCCAGCTTCCGGAGTTCTGTTCACGGGACAGCTCACTTGTAGTCAAAGAAATCTTTGGAGTTACAGAGTATGTCTATATTCTACTATATCGGGAATCCTTGTTTTCTTTGAACCTCAACTGTTTTTTTTGTCCTGTTCATTTTATCGTGAAGATTTTTGCCCCGTGTTGTCATTGTTTTCTGTTTTTCTTGTGAGCAGTGAGGATGCAGACAGCCTGCGGATTCACACCCTCTCAGCAACAGGTGATATCGAATCTATACAGAAGATGGTTGACGATCTAGACATAGAACAAGGTCCCTCGTCATCGTCTTGAGTTATGGTGATGGAATAATGCTAAACATCTTATCTGATAGTGTTGCAATTTTAGCTTGAAGTGAGTTTCTCCAATCTTTTCGTTTAGTTTTTCAGCTGTTGAAGTAGGGTTAAACCTATGAGCACAGGATACTTCAGCTGGAGTCTAGAGATTTTGTAAATTGTCTCTCGATTAGCAGCCTGTTCGCTTGGCTGTTGCTTGTCGTAAACGATCGTAAATTTTCAGTCGGAACAGTATTTTTCTCTCACACAAACCAGTCAGCAATACTTCTTCACGAACCAGCAACGAAACGAACCAGCCAACCGAACAGGCTCTAGGCCAGTAACGTCTGGCAGTGTCAGGCCTGCCCATAACTTGAGTAAACGAGAATATTATTATAGTAGAAAAGCGCATGGGCAGCAGTGAGTTTATAGAATGCGGGAATAATATTTATGTCTACTCTGTTTTCTCATGATTCATTTAACGATGTACTTATACAAAATACGTTTGTGTGAAATTCTCTACTAATTAAAGGATGAAGATTCAGCATTTGTGCTCGTGGGTCGTGGCATTCCAAGGTATGTATAGCCACCATGTTGTCGTTTGCTGATGTTATGGTTAAAACGATTCTTGTTTCACTATGCTCATAGGGCCTGTTTGAGTCCGTCCGGTTTCCAGACCAGTTGGGAAAATCTACCCAATTGTGTAGAACTATATGTGCACGTATTGATTGTCCAATCTGTATCGGCCAATCTAGAGTTTGAAGGAGGTGAGAAAGAATAAAGAGTAGAAAAATATAAAAATGGATAGGGATTTCTGATGTAAAATTGACTTCTATATTTTAAGAGTAAGTTTTGAAACCTATTGGAGGAACCAACAAAAATGCTTTTAGCTTTTTTTTAGTCATTTCAAAAACTTATTGATATACCAATTGTTTTTGGAACTATTGGAGATGCTCCGAGTTGCCTGTGAGCTGCGAGGCTGTGAACCAAATAAGCCCGTGCATCTCCAAAAGTCCTATCCTAACCCCTATAATTCAAAAGTCGTATCCTACCTCCTATAATAATTAAGCTGTCACTTGAGATGCTTTGAACTTGAGTGCATTTCGTAGTCTAAATTTTCTCTTCAAACTCTAAAACTAGACAAACTGGTTCCTTCGATTCTTAAAATTGTTTAAACTATTTTTTTATTTTAGCTACAAGTGGTTTTAAGGTTGTTTTGTCATTTTTAAAATTTTAAAAATACCTGATAAGTTTTTTAAACCACAAAAAAAAATCTCTATGCTTAAAATTCTGGGGAAAAAAATCTAGAAATAGATTGGGACATGATAGATCCAAATCAAATATCTATAGCTCATGAAAATATAACTAAAATCTTGAAGAAATTAGTTTTAGAATCTAAAAAATAAGAAAATATTCGTAAAAATTAGAAAAAATTGAAAAACATTCTAACCAATGTCTAACTATGTTTTAAAATCTTTCCACAGTAAAAAAAAAAAGAGATGCAACTACAATGAATGCATTCAACATTAATGTATGTTGTATTCATGTTGGTTCTATCTCATATTTTTGCTATGTGGGGGTTTTCAAAACACGTTTGAATATTGATTAGAATGTTTTAGTAATTTCCAATAATTTCTTGGATATTTAACTAGAGCTAACTCTAATTTCTAGAAGCTTCTAGATATGACTTCAGGATTACTATATACTTAATTTAGGTTCTCGTGTCCCAATCAATCTATAGGATTTTTCTTGAACATTTATAAGTTTAGAGATATCTTTTGTTGTCTAACAACCTTATTAAATGTATACTAGGATTTTTTTAATTAAAAATGACAAAATCATCTTGTTAGTCACTTCTAACCGGAGCATGTAGTTAACTTGAACGGTTTTGAAAGTCTGAAGGATCTATGAGAACTGCTCCCGTGCGCCTCTTTTAGAAAAATAGTACAAGCAAGCTCCACTTAATTAATTAATTATTAATTTTCATCTAGATCCCGTATGGGCCAGGCCCTAGCCTCTACTCCCACCCGATGCGGTTTGGATCTCATATATATCATGCCATGCCTGCCTCTGATCTCCTCTCGTCTCTCGAGCGTAGCGGCGGCAGCTATTCACGACGGCGGCGGCCCCGCGGCACTGCCACCATGTCGGCCAATGCGGAATGACGATACGTCATCTTCGCCCCTATCTCATTCTGTGCTCCCAATTCCATCGTGCCCCCTCACTCTCTCCGCAGTCACACAGACGAGCGATGACGACGGATGAGCACCAAACACTGACAGTCAGCGTGCAAGCCGGTCCGCTGCCCTGCCCTCCACTGAGAGTGAGGGCATTCAGTCCGCCGCACACCACACACCTTCGCAGCCGCATCTCTTCCACCCCCCCACCCCCCCACTATATCTAGTGGATCTGTGGGCTGCGATTACGGAGGAGGTGGGAACAAACGGTGGAGAGCAGGAGCGGCGCCAGCGGCGTGGATTCCAGTCTCGCTCGGTGCGGCAAGCGGTGGTGCGTGCGCTTGCTGCGGCGACCGCCATCCGCCAAGCAAGGAAGTGGGGCAAACACGGTGTCGAATCATTGATCGAGGTATGTTCTGCCCCACCTAAAATTTTGGGGTGAGCTCCGCCACTGCCGTTCTCCGTGCTACGTACTGTAGGCAAATTCTAATGCGCCCAGTTTCCGTGGCACATGTGAGCCCCATATCTGTTTTGGTTTTGCATCTTCTTCTATATAAATCCTGTAGGTGTTTTGGCCGGATAGAGCGTGAGCCCGCAGTAGCAGAAAAAAGGCGTGTACACAGTAATACAGTATAGCTAGCTAGCGCCATGGCGTGCGAGGGCTTGGTGGACTGGAGGGGGAAACCCATCAACACAAAGGTTCATGGTGGAGTCCGAGCTGCATGGTATCTTTATTGTAAGTTTGTTTGACTGGGACTCCGGCGTTACTTTGTCAAATTAAATGGAGTCGATCAACACAGTATAGTTAGTATGATTTTTGTTTGTGTGTGTGTGTGTGATCGATTATGCTCAGCGTATTACTAATAATAAATAATGTATACTCTCTCCGGTTCTCTAAAGCAAGTCGTTTTGGACATCGACACGGTCTTTAAGAAATGACTTTGACTGTAACTTTTTGCTATAAAATATTTATAAAATATAGTCAATATATACTTTTATGAAACTATATTTCGAGATGAATCTAGTTACATCACTTTTATATTTTCAAACTCAACCCAAAAAAGTTATTTGTAGTCAAATTTTAAAATGTTTGACTTAAAATAACCTCAAAACGACTTGTTTTAGAGAACAGGAGGGAGTACATATTATTCATGATTGTGCCTGCGTTTTGTTTTCGTTTTGTACAGTTCTCATCGTAGTGAATTTCTTGGTGCACGTGCCAAACCTTCAGAATATGACGACGTATCTGCGTCAAGTATGCATATGGGAGTATCTGATGCTTCAACCACATTAACCAACTTTATCGGTGCCATGTGCGGATTTGCTCTGTTGGGAGGTTTCCTCTCGGACTCCTACATCACCTGCGCCAGAACTATGCTACTCTCTGTGCCACTAGTGATTTTGGTATTTTCCAGCATCTTTTATTTATTTTTTACTACTATGTTTAACAGTATTGGTGGAAACAATATGTATATTTAAGGTGTAAGTCTATTATTAGCAGCAACGATTAGGCGTCCTTTCTCGCCAATTGTTTCCAGTCTTCGAGATTAATGACGTTATTCCTGTTCTGATGTTAACTAATAAACATCCATTCCATCCATGCATGCATTTTCTGAACGAAGGGCTACGGATTGCTCACTATGCAATCCCACTTCCCTTGGCTCCACCCGGCACCCTGCAACTCATCCGAAGCAGCGGACGCAACAAGCAGCTGCAGGCAGGTCGACGGCTGGAGGTCCGCGCTGCTGTACATAGCCCTGTACACCATCGCGCTCGGAGAAGGCGTCATGCTCGCCTGCATACCTGCCCTGGGCTCCGATCAGTTCGACGGCGACAACCCCTCGGAGGCTCGGCAGCAGTCGAGCTTCTTCAACTGGTTCACCTTCTGCCTGTCCATCGGGTCCGTCGCCGGCCTGATCCTCGTCGTGTGGCTCGAGGACACCAAAGGATGGGACATTGGATTTGGCCTGAGCGCCCTCTTCATTCTCATCGTGTGAAGACCAACACTGGAGGAGAAGGAGATGGACCTTGGTCGGTCTGCAGCGCGGCAAAAGTAGAGGAGACCAAGATCGTTCTACGCATGCTGCCTCTCGTCTTCAGCTCAACGGTGGCCCACATATCGAGCTCTCTGCTAATCGCGTTCACCGTCCAGCAGGGCGCGACGACGAACACGAAGCTGGGGAAGGTGCACGTCTACCCCGCGATGCTCTTCATCATCCCCTCAATCTTCCAGACACTGATGCTGGTGGCGTACGACCGGCTCCTCGTGCCGCTGCTGCGCGGCGCACGGGCTACACGGGAGGCATCACGCAGCTGCAGCGCGTCGCCGTGGGCTTCCTGGCCGCGTCCGTCGCCCCGGCCGTCGCGGCAGTCGTCGAGAGGAAGAGGAAGGACACGGTGGCGGCCGGCGGCCACATCTCCCTCTTCTGGCTGGCGCCGCAGTTCTTCCTGGTCGGCGTGGAGGACACCACCGCCTTCGTGGGCTGCTCTGCTCGAGTTCTTCACCGCCGAGGCGCCCGACGGCATGAAGTCCATCGGCGTGGCGTTCTTCTGGTGCCAGGCCGGGATGGCCTCGCTACTGGGCACGCTGCTGGTGAGGCTGGTGAACAGGGTCACCCACAGCAGCAGTGCCCCTGGGTGGCTGGAGGGGAAGAACCTCAACAGCAGCCACCTTGATCTGTTCTACTGGGTTGTCACGGCTGTGTCATTTCTTGGCTGGCTCAATTACCTCGACTGGGCCAAGAGGTACAAGTACCGACAGGATCCACGGATTTCCATCAAGTCCCCCGATGAGGACGACTCTATGGCTTGAAGCATGGATGGGTGCTCCCGCGCTGGTTTTTTTTTTTTTTATGAGAACAGGAGGGGCATGCCCCTACTGTGATTTAATTGAAAGAGTTTTGAAAAAAAACTTACAAACTTACAAAACATACAGAGCAAAGAGGAAGCTGCTCAAGAAACAAAGAAAGAAATAAAGAAAATAAGACAGCTAAGAGAAGTTAAACTAGATTGCTTAACCATTGACTAATAAGGGGGAAATAACTCTTCTTTGCGCGATAGAGAAGCAGCGCAAGCTCTGACTTGAAGAACCTTTTTGCCTGATCCAAATTAGGCTGAACCTGATTGAAGATTAAGTCATTCCTAGATTTCCAAATGGTCCAACACATGCTGAGAATAACTTCCATAAAGAAAGGTACTCGCATTTGCACCTTAATCCTTTCCAAGGTTTGGAAAACGTCAAGGTGATCAAAGGTCTGAACCTGAATCCAGTTCCAGCTGCAGATAGCATGAATAGTACTCCCCCTCAAAATGATCTGTCTGTCTGTTACTCCTGCATTAGAGGACCATGAATACGTTGTGTGTCGTGTTTGTTCGGTGATGTTTGCCGCAAGCATAATCACTACCTCAGAGTCGCTACCGGTTCAACCCCGCACCCCCCCCCTCATTCACTGCTGAAATTTGAACCGGTCCTATCGCTGCTGGTTCTAAAAAAACCGACAGTGATATAACAACCTTCACTGTTGATTCATGTCGGCAGCCGGCAGTGTTTAGTTGAACCAACACTGCCGGTTCTGGGCATGAACTGGCAGTATTGAGTTGAATAATACTGCCGTTTCATCACCTAAGCCAGCAGTTCAGGACTGCAACCGGCAACATTGATTTGGGCAACTATGCTGGCTCAGTACTTGAGCCCACAGTGCTATACCTATCGTCACTGCCAGTTTGTTGGTGAACCGACAGTGATATAATTTTCCCATATTTTTATTTAATAATTTATTTTATTATTTTTGTATGATACTCTTTATTCCTATGGTTACGGTAATCGAAGGACCGTAAACGGCGACCAAAAGGGGGGTGTGTGTGAATGGGAGCCGTAAATTTTCTTTCAAAAACTTTAGGCCGCTGTCCCAAGATCACCACCAAACACATGAAGCTAACACCGTGATATCCACTACCCAAATGAGAGGATAGATGTTCCGTAGTAATACAACGAGACACCACAAAACAATCTGACCGAGAAGTACTCACACTGAACCTTCGAGAACGGAATACTCAACTCCTATAGAGAAGGAGCAAGTGCCCAACCAATAATACTTAGGCCAACTGGTGACAAAAGTACTTTGGAAAGTTCCTCAGGAAGTTAGCAAATCAACGCAAAAAGTGGAACTCAAATCGGAGATCAAACGAGCAAGAACCGAGAGAAAATAGCACAGCTAGGGGGTGGCGGACTGTCTGCTACAGGATGACGGACAGTCTACTACACTACCCCAGACAGTCCGCAGTTCAAAAGTCAGGAAATGGACCGACTGAAAATGTTTCTGCTCGCGACTGATGCAGGGGTGACGGACAGTCCAGGAATTGGTGGCGGACTGTCTGCGATCCCGAGAGCAGAGCTGTCATGGACGTACATAAACGAGCCCAACTCTTGTCATGGACGTACATAAACGAGCCCGATTGCTGGACTATCCGCGGGTCACCGGCGGACTGTCTGCGAATCGTGAAACAGCGAGAACAAAAAGCCCCGAAAATCGCTTCCAACCAAAATCCGTTCAATTTGCGGTCAAATCAAAACAAATTGCCTCCAAATTTTAACAACATGCTCACAAGGCGGTGAGCTACCCCTAAGAGATCATTGCTCAAAGTTTAGCCAATCAACGGGAAAATCAACTCACGTGAAAAACTCCGGTTTTTCCTCCCAAAAATTGAATCGCCCCGATCTATGAACTCATGAGGATTTAGACAAATTTCTTTGGTGGAAGGGATCAACTCACATCCTGGTGCATCTCAGATCGAAAAGAACGAATCAAAATGCTCCCAAAACGATGAATCGAGCTATAAGGAAAATGGACCCTAGGCCCATTCACTTTGGATTTTGGTGTTTGATGATCAACACAACTAAATTGGACTAATGTGTTTGCTAATGTTTATTTTATATTTCAATAGGATGCAACGCGGACTTGGATCAACTTTGGAACATGAGGAAAATGATCAACACTCAAAAAAGACATTGGAGGAGGTGTTGACAGCCTAGAAGTGAAGCAAGGAGTCCAAGACATAAAGATTTCAAAGCCCGAACTAAGCCACGTGAAGAAACGGAAGCGGATGGTGGCTGAGTGAGAACCACCCTAGGGGTGGCGGTGCCACTAGAGAAGGGCTGCTGCAACTGGAAGAAGAGACTTTTCCCTGTGTGCCATTATAAAAGATCGTAATCTCCTGTGTGCCCCTGAAAAAATTCAGCGGTCTTCAGCGCCACTACTCCAACTTTTTCGGGTCCTCCATGCCACTTCCGTCAGTTCAGGCTCTAACGCCGTCAAACTGCAGGTGTGAAAAGACGAAAATGCCCTTAAGTTCAAATATGTTATTAATTTTTTTTGAGCATCTTAACGACTTCAAATGAAAAAACTCAAAACTAGAAAGTTGTAGATCTCGTCGAGATCTATAATTTTCATATAAAAAATATTTTTATTTAATTCCACAAAAAAAATATGATGATTTTTCTAAGATATATTAATCATATCAAATCATATTTTTTTGCGGAATTAAATGAAAATAATTTTTATATGAAAATTATAGATCTCGACGAGATCTACAACTTTCTAGTTTTGAGTTTTTTCATTTGAAGTCGTTAAGATGCTCAAAAAAAATTAATAACATATTTGAACTTAAGGGCATTTTCGTCTTTTCACACCTGCAGTTTGACGGCGTTAGAGCCTGAACTGACGGAAGTGGCATGGAGGACCCGAAAAAGTTGAAGTAGTGGCGCTGAAGACCGCTGAATTTTTCCAGGGGCACAGAGGGGATTACGATCTTTTATAATGGCACACAGGGAAAAGTCTCCTGGAAGAATAGGGGGGCACCGGACAGAGCCGTGTGCACCGCCCTGGTCACCACCATGGGGTGATGGTGCATCGGAAAGGGGGTGGCGGTGCCGCCGCCCTAAAATTCTAGAGAGCAATGAAGAGGGACTCGGGCACCACCCTGGTCACCGCCCTCAGGGTGGCGGTGCACCGCCCTAGTGAACAGTACCCCAATGGTCGGTTGTAAGTGACCAACGGCTAGCTGACGTGGCTGGCACCGTCGTGTCCAGTGCTTGGCACCGCCATGACTGGTGCCCACACAAAAACATGGAGCTCGGCCCCAACGGCTATATTTCCACTTGTGGCCTATATATATGACTCCAACCGGCCATTTGAAGTGTGAGAGAGTTGAGGGAAGATAGGAGGGTGTTGCTACACCTCATTTATGCTCTCCACATGCATAGATCTTAAAGATCACTTGGTGATTAGCGTAGGTGCTTTGCGAAGTGCTTAGGTTAGTTAGATCACGCTCATATACGCTTGCTCTAGGCTTAGGTCTAGTTGCTAGTGAGGTTGGCATACCTCTAAACCCAAGGTGCTTGCGCGCACCGTGTTTGTACTCTAAGGGGCTTGTAGTCTTGCGAGACCACACCAACCGTGTTTGTGGTGTGGCCGCCACCGTGTACCGAAGGGAACAAGACCCGCGGCGGTTCAGCCGAAAGCTTGATAGTGAAGACGGTAGGGAGCAGTCTAGGAGAGGCTTGTCGGAAGGCACACCGAAGAGCCACTTACGTGTGGGGAAGGCCTAGGGCTATCCACGGAGTTAACCGACAAGGAGCTTGGCCCTTGAGAGGGATTCCTTGCGAGGGGCTCCAACGAGGGCTAGGGGGAAGCTTGAGCGCTTCTCGATACCTTGGTAAAAATACCAGAGTCATCGACAGGAGTTTGCATCTCTACCTCGTCTTTACTTTCCGCATTTATATTGCTACCTTGGTGTGTACTTTACCTTCCTAGCTTAGTTGAGTAGTCGATAGGATTGGAACATAGGTTGCATAACTCTTTTGCGCTAGAGATAGCAACACACTTAGCAAAACCATAGTTGCACATTTGGATTGATTACTTTCTTGCATAGGTTTTGCTATGGTGGAATTAGAGACCATAGTTTATAGTAGATTTTTAAGTTGCCTAATTTATCCCCTCTCTTAGGTGTCACGGTCCCCTACAAGTGGTATCGGAGCCGATTGGCTCAATTTGGATCTTTGGCTTTATCGCCATTGAGCCGACGCTATTTAGAGTGGTTGGGATGGATACCTCTAGGCCTCCGTACTTTGACGGCACTAACTTCCTCTACTATAAAACTAGAATGGCTTGTCACCTTGAGGCTGTAGATTTGGGTGTTTGACGAGTCACTCATGACGGGATGAAACCCATTAAGAATCCCGATAAACCCACAAAGATCAAAGAAAAAGAAATTCATTTCAATGCTAGAGCTAAAAATTGCTTATTTGAATCTTTTAGCATGGATGTGTTTAACCAAGTGTTCACTTTAAATACGACATATGAAATTTGGTTAAAATTACAAGAGCTCCATGACGACACAAGTAATGTCCGTGAGCAAAAACATTGCCTAGCTCAACAAAGTTATGATTCTTTTAAAATGAATGATGATGAGCTTGTTCGTGATATGTATTCACGTTTGAATCTAATTATCAATGAGCTCAATTCTATAGGATTAACAAAGCTAGGTGATGGGGACATCGTGAGGAAGCTCATCTCCGTGCTACCACAAAAGAAATATGCAAGCATCATCACCATCCTTCACAACATAGAGGACTTAAGCACCATGACCCCGGCCATAGTCATTGGCAAGATAGTGAC